ATTTTGTTGACTAGCGTCAAAGACTTATTTTTTTTTGCTTATTTTTCTTAAACATTATTGCAATTAATTAAATACCCTGTATTAGGTACGATTGGTACTAAATATTCGTTTTCAAAGAACTTTTCACGTCTCTGAAACCTCAAGATGTTTTTAGTGCTGTATCGAGTAGGAAGAAGCGTTCCGAATGTATTGGACTAAAGGTGATAAGGAAACAAGTACGACAGTCGTGATTTAATGCCAGGAATTTGAGAAGGCGTAGAAAATGGTAGTAAAGTTCCTAGTGTTATGAAAGCGTTGTGTGAAATCTGTGCAATTTGGGAGAAATTGAATGGGCCCACTTTTGCTTAAGTCCTTTATACGCAGAATGTTTATAAATAATTCTACAGTCTTATTTCTTTATATATTGATCCTAGACATGTATTTCGAATAATCAAGTTCCGCAGAATAAGAAAGGACTTTATGAAAACATTTTCAACACCGAGAATGGATCGATTATATAAACACAATTATATTAAAAATGTTCTTGTTTAGCGAAATGAAACACTAAAAAATGTTAACTCGGCTTTCATATATAAAGTACGAAATTTCCTTTAACATGAACAAAAATCTCCCATTAACCAGCTTCTATGGAAGTAAGTCGGATAACAAATAGAATTTTCATTCGAAATAAGTTCAGAACAGTATTTATAGTACGCAAGTAATTGTTAAAAAAGGAAAAGAAAGCAGGATTCTCAATATTGTTGATAAACTATAAGACTTTTATCATTCAAATGTAATCAATTTAATTGCTCAACAAACTGAGCTATTTAAAAGCTATAAATACATTTTTAATAGCTGATAATAATTTTTACGATTATTTACAGAATCGCTGCAATTGATAAATGTTTTTAACGTAATATTCGTTTTCAGATTCTTTTCAAATAAAATTGCTCCGTAAATTTAATACGAATGGGATATGAATGCTTTTGCTGTTTGATATGTAGTTTTTCGACATATAACCATGAACAGTAACTTTATTTACTTTTTTAAGCCCAAAGGGGGCTATTAATCTCAAAATGGGGTTTTGCGTGGAATCACTATAAACGCGTTGTTTCACTTTTCATCCAGTCATTTGCCATTTGGCAAATATTTATCTTTAAAATTGAATCCTTTTGTTGTGGAATAACACATCTAAACTATTAGAAAGCAATATTTGCAGGTTTTAAGAATATTCTTAAGAAAGTTTCTTACTTTTGAATCGGATTGATTTAAATAATAAAATGCATTCAATTCATAATCTGTGTAATTAAAAATATTTAGGATTTTCATAGAATCACATTATATTTTTTATTATTTATTTCATATGTTGCGAAACTTTAATGAGTTTTTTATTAACAAACTCAAATATTTGAAAGCTAGCAGTAGCAACATTGTGCCGAATAACACTTTTATCACCAGCAAGCGAGACTGTCTATCAGAAATACAAAAGATACGCTTTTTTTTAATATTTTAGGATTTTTTTTTAATTGAACTAAATTTTATATGGAGTAAGAGCGAATAACGTGGTATTTAATGAATAAAGTTAACACACAAAACGTTAATAATAAAAAGACGAAAATTTTTTCGAAATGTTTTGGATTTTGCTATGTAATTGTATATGACATAAGTGCGCAGAAAACGATGCTTAATAATAAAGCTTATGGAGAGTGCAACAGCAGACTGGTAGACTGCGAGCACAACGAGAGCATAAAAAACCTTAACAAAGCCAAGCCCTTTTAGGCGACCATTAAAATCTGAAACCTTTCAGTCTTCCCCTCCCCATGGTTTCTTCGCAGTATGCCTTCTTATGAGCATGTTTTCTGATTCTGTTTGTTTATTAAATCTCAGAGGGGTTCCCCCCCCCAATTGTATATAATGTCGATGAAAATGTCGGATTTTTATAATCAAATGGCATTTTTGACGCCTGAGACAATTTTAGCTGTGGTATGCATTAAAGGTTAATAACTGGGACTCCAGAACTTGAAAATACAAAATATAAATAAATTATATGTTAACTAAAAATTTACTCCGGAAAATATGTCTTAAAGGCACAATAGCAAGAACAATCAGTGTAAGTTGCATACATTTACAAGACTAGTTTCGAAGATTAAAAAGAGCTTTCTTCAGCTGCAGGCGTGAAAATAAGGAAAGGAAGGCATGTGCTTACGCGATAACAATAGACAAAAAAGTCATTAATTCTAGTTAATAATTATAATTCTAATCATTTTTTAGCTTTAAAAAATTATTTAATTTGTTTTGATGTTTTATCAACAGATGGCGCCAGAAGCTTTGTTCTTTACTTGGAACTTTCTCTAATGTTTTGTTTATTATTATCGCGAGAGTTTATTAAATCGTGTTTCCCCATCGTCAGTTTCACTCCTACAACTGAATAAGGAAGTCAATAAACCTTCGAAACTTATCTTACAAGTTTATGCATCTTAAATTGAATCTTGTTGCTATGGTATTTTTAACATAAAATCATATATTTAAAACTTGGTATTCAAATGTGCCAAAAGGTACACACAAATTTCTATGGTAATACTTCATTCTTAAATAGTGCCACGTGGACATTTAAGAAAGGAAAAGATTTAATTATCAAGACACAAACGCTTTTTTCTTATTTTTTGCACTAAATCGGTTGCGCACTAGGCTTCCAGCAAATATTTTCCGTTAATGAAATGGAAACAAATTTTTGCTAAAAATGAAATTCCGCATTGAAAGTTACACTTCCTTCTTCAACGTATGAAATTTAATGATGCCAAATGTTGCCTGAAATATAAAATAATAGTAAAAGAATGCTGTGCCTACTCATCCCAAATAGAAATAGGTCATATGTTGTTTGCTTTCATCTTTTTACATCAGAAATACAACGAACACTCTGGAAGGCTTTAAACTAGTGGCTATAATGATGAAAAGCCCCTTTATTGGTAGAGTTCCTTTTTGGGGGGGGGATAAAGATTGGACTTAAAGAATTGTGATTTTATCACAAACCTTAATTGAAGAAATAAAATCAAAATAATGTACTAATTAGTTTATCAGTTTAATAATCAAATACGGAACCATGCGTGGGATGATAAAAAAACTTTCGTATTCACTTGACGTTGAGTTCCGGCGAATTTGTCTGTTACAGAATAGCAGAAATTTGATGCAAGTTAGCGATAATGTACAAATTGAGAATTTGCTAATCGAACATCTTATGCTTTCATTAGCCATATCAGACGCCCATGAGAGAGTAAGGCAACTCACTTGTTTCAAATTGCCAAACACTTGCAGCTTAATGCGTTCGTCGGGAATAGCAAGTCTGTCATTTAGCCATCTCATCATTGAGAAGGTTGCTCAAGTTGCAGCACAGGGGCTGACGATTGTACATTAGCGAGAACAGTTCCTTCCTCATTTTTATGGAAAACGCTTCAATGGATCCGAGGGTCTTCCATCTCTATTTCCCTACCATCAAACCTAGGACTTTCGTCGAACCTGGGCGCAACAATACGGCAATCAACAAGGTTAATCCTTGTACCGATCAATGCGGAATGTAAAACAATGTTCTAGGCAGAAGCAAAATTTTAATTTCATATTTTAGTTTCTGGCTTTCAGCAAAAATTGGGTATTTAATCTGTTCCAAAAAGATATGCAAAACTTAGAATGCGAAATTAAAAATTTTGTTCAAGTTTCTGATTTTAAATCTTTAAAAGCTATTTGTGAAAAAAAAAATTATTAAGTTTTGTATTTCGGAGGCTTCCTTGAAAGTGGAGGCCCTAAAAACGTACCACGTTCATCTTTATCAAATAAAGCCCAACCCAAACCTCTTCCTCTTTCAGAATTAATGTCATCCTTTTCAACATTTGATTGAAGCAAACAATGAACGATATTTTTTTCCACCTTTCTATTTAAAAGCGAAAATCCTCTTTCATTTCTTACGTTAAGCCAACAAAAATGGGCTTTCGTAAAAGCAAACCTGTGTGAAGTTGAGGACGAGGTTCTGTGTTTTCACATCAGTATAGTGATTTAATTAAAATTGTCATTATCATGACTTATGATGCCTTTTTGGTACAAAGGCTTAATTATATTAATCATAATCCTTGGCCGAAAAATAAGAAATTTAGCATTACAGCTATTCTCTTGATAAAAGAAGGAAAGCACGGGAATGGAACTCTATATTTGATATTAAACTTCACCGTAACCACAGTATATCTGTGGTTTTATTTTATGTTTTCTAAGAAGAGTTTAATCAAAATTTATTCTCAACTAAACTTGTCAGTGAAGATTAAGGGAATTTATTATTACTATTCCGTCGGTTCATCATCATTATTATTATTGAAAAAATAAAAATAACTTATCTTTCTTACCGCAATAGGTCGTATGTCAAAAAAATATTTTTCAGGCGATGAGGGAAGTGTTAATAAATATTTTTTGTAACGCGGAAAATAAATGGAAGGAGTTTCACGCATCAATGTAAAATATAAAATTAGGCAAGGTTTTATAGAAAACTGTTTATATCTGAAGTGTCAGGCAACGAGGTCTTCCTTCTTTTGAGAACTGAAGGCATTTTTTATCCTTGAAGAAGATGGACATTAGAACTTGTCGAAAGACTTTTTTTCTCCTTCAAAAAGCCATTTTCTCTTAGGCGCAATGCTGTTATTCTTTCAAGGGCAAAAATGCTGTTTGAGAGAAATCCTTTGAAGTCGATAGTTTCTTATAAAACTAATATACGCCGTCCAATCGGAATAGTGATTAGCGACGCTAACTGTCGTACCGAAGGACCCGAATTTGAATTCATGAGAGCCCATGGAGGTTTGTAAATATATAGTGTCTGTGCGGCATGGGGGTGCTCTAAATCTGTCGCGAGCCGAAAGTCCTCTCGAGATAATTTTTTTTTACTGAATAGCGCATTAATTTTAAAATGGGCGTTTTTTGACATACGAACTATTGCGATAACAACCGCGACTTTCTTTGTCATTAATTTTATTTCCATTTCCTTTTAGAAAACTGCAAAGATTCGAATCATGTATGGAGGCCAGATTCACCCCCAGAGTCTTTCGCTTCTGGATCCGATTCTCCTGCCTTGACTATCGAGACAGAAGAACCTAGCAGCGCAGCGTCTGACAGCACAGAAACTGTTTCCGAACTAGCGAGCCCGACTTACGATTACAGGGAGGATGGAAGCCCTTTGGCCGATGAACTGCGAACTCGTTTGAAACTCATACAGTCCTCCCAAGCAGAAGGAAGCTGCGTGACCAGTCCCGTCGATGAGGTATCGGAAGGTAGCACGTCCTCTGCTTTGTCTTCAGAGGCGACCAATTCCGGCAAGGACCTCTTATCACCTCCTGAATCGTGCCCCCGACTGGTACGAAGCACGTCTCTGAAGACGGGTAAGACACCACCGGGAACTCCAAGCAGGAAGAAAATTGTTCGTTTCGCGGATGTCTTGGGCCTGGACCTCGAAGCCATCCGTCATTTCGTGAAAGACGACGATGCGCCCATCGTTCCTCAGTCAGCTTTCGCGGACTTGAAAGTTCCCACTACCTCCTCGAGTACACCTCTTCTAGCATGGAACCGAAGCAGCAATGCCCTGACGCCTACTGGATGTCGGTTCGTTCCACAATTCGAGCAGCCAGGATCTGACCCTCACTTCCTGGACAAGGTTCGACAACAGAAAGTGTGCCTGGAGAACGCAGTCGTCAATGACTTGAGGGTAACAGGAGTCATCCGAGTTCTCAATTTGGGCTTCGAGAAGCTGGTGCAGGTTCGGTATACAACGACAGAGTGGGCAGTGCACACCGACATAACAGCAGATTACGTACCGTCCTCTTGTGACGGTTTCTCGGACAAATTCAGTTTCAACCTCCATCTGCCTCACCTCTCGCCAGGACAGAGATTGCTATTCGCGATCAAGTATGTCGCCAATGGCCAGGAGTTCTGGGACAATAATTGTGGCAACAACTATATTTTGAAGTGCCAAGCGAAGAGTCCGGACCAAGACTCTACGGCCGGAATCAGTGGCCCCAGATGGATCCATCATTTCATGTGATGCTTCCTGTTGCCTTCACGTTTAGTCTAAAATACTGTAGGTGGAAAACTTCAATGGTGCTTTCCGACAACTTAGGCTTGGAACTTCACTAGAGTCCGTTTCTTAAGCTTTCACACTTTTTTCATTTAACTAGCCTGAATTAGCCTCCCCCATCCAGAATTACACTACAGCGTTCTGATCCTGCCCCGAGAGCTGCCACTTGACATGCAAGTAAGAATTTCTTTTTTCTTATATGCCTCAATTACTCTCATGTTTCTTTCTCTAACGTTTAAGTATGATTTATAAACTTTTGACTATGAAATTATAATTTAACTACTGAGCAAAGAAAAAAAAAAAAGATTTTTTCGCAAGTATGCCCAGATCTTGGAATTTCTCGGATTTAAATTTTTTTCTGCTCATGCACGTCAAATCTATTGATTAAACCCTTCAAAATTCTATTCAAGGCCATTCATCTTCCCCACCAGTACAGATAAAAAGGGAATTCGAGTGGACACAATATAAAGACAGCAATTCTTTGCAATCTGATTCCTAGGAAAATGTTATAGACGGAAATGTAGGTTTTTAATACTCCTTGGGAGTGGAAATATCTTCTTTCGAAACCATAAAATGGGGACGCTACGGAATCTAATCTGAGGGAAAATAAAATCACTCCCCCCCCCCCCCCCAGTATCACAAATTAAGAATGCTGTGCACTGTGAAGGACTTTTGAAACACATCTAATGTAGTAGGATCCGAAAATATACGTATATGCTTGGATAAAACAATACATGTACGTTTTCTTCGGAGCCATGCTTCAAAAATAAGATGCTGAAAAGAAAAATAATGAGGTTATGATAAATCACATTTTATGTCTAATTTTATAAAATAACTATTTCAGTTGCATTTGATATTTGGTTTCACTATTAAAATTATGAGATTCTGGCGCTGTAAAGTAACAGGACTGTAAGTAACAGGACTGGATTGTTTGATTATGGCGAAGCACACAAGGGCAATCTGCCCAAAGGGAGAGATGCCTTTGTGGAAGACTTTCTAAAGGAAACTGGCTTGTATCACGTTATACATGGGGGAAACCACTGAAATGCCCGTAAAGCCAGCCTGTTCGTCGGGATTCGAACCACGGGAGAACTACTAGTGCTCAGCTACTTTGCCGCGGGTGGGCTCAAGACTTACTTCACTGTCTATCTTCCCGCTATTCACCTCCAGCAACTAGTTATACTAGGATACCCTGGATGTTGAAAGTACACTCTATTTTTTTTTTTTTTTTTTTTTCCTAGTTTGTTTTAAAATTTATTATCGTAGTCTTTTACCGGCAGTAAGAATATCCAAAACAGGTTACACAACTTAAATTTGGCTTTTGCGTAAAGGAATGGGTGGAAATATATATTTAGTATCAAAATAAAGAATAACTTTAAGGCAGTAACTAAAGGTAATATTAATATATCTATTTATAAGCGCTTTTTAATCGATACAAGTAATTCTTTTACTCATTCCTTCTGAAATGGTACACATTATGTAATTTTTCTCTGTGATGAAATCAGGAATTACCGTTTGAGTTGAGTGAAAACTCATTATGTAATTTTACCTTGCACGATTTTTAAAAGATAAAATTAACAAAAAAGGGGAGGAGGGGGCAGGAAATTATGTAAGTATTTGCGGCATTTCATTTGAATCTAAGTAATCAGATTTTCTTTTTAAATGTTGCGATTACTAATTTGCCACCAGTTTTATATCGATTTTGAAAAATTTATTAAATGCATTTTTTCCACTTTGAGTTCGCAACTAGTGAAAAAGGCCATCGAACACACGGAACATTGTGCTAACATAAATAGCATTTTAATGTACAAGATCACAAAACAAATAATTCTGCAATTGTTTTGAAAGAAAATGCCAGAAATTTCATCGCCGGAATAGTTGGTTAAATCTGTAAGAAACCTTTTTTATAAATATAAACCAATTTCTCTCAGCATCGCCTTTACGAAAGCATCCTTCATTTTAGGCAAACAGTCCTTGTGTGCTTTTATCGTAATTGATATACTGAATAAATTGGGAAAGTGTTCAAAAGCTACCTAATTGAGGAAAGATATCGGAGTTTGTTTTCTATTTACCATACGTAAATAGTCCATTGCGTGTTTTATCTAATCAAGTAACTTACTTAATCTTAACATAAGCATAAAAAAAAAAATAATATAAATGCGAAATCGCGGAAATTCACACCGCTATAAAATTACTACCAGTTTGTAGTTGGTTAAAACGAATCAAATGAGATGTTTCATCAAACTACGACAATTTCTCACGTGACGCCTTTTAAAAAGATGCACAAAACTTATATTTACTACTCTTTTTATTGACATCCTCATACATCATGCTTATGACATATAAAAAGGTGCAAGTCATTGCAGAATTCGCTGTCATAAATTCTTAGCATTAATGCAATAAAGTCGAGAATGAAAGAGACAACTTGAAACCTGAGATTCATTCAGATTTCAGTTATTTTTTTTACCTCTGCAGAGGTCGGCGGGTTAAAATGTAAACAATAGAATGCTGCTGTTCTTTCAGCGTCGAAATATTTTCGTTTAAAATTTATCGTTTGCACAACAGAAGAGAGTGGAGAAACAAAATATAAATATATTGCTGCAGTATTGCAGAAATCCAACGCCATCAGCTACGTAAGGATTCTTTTTCATCCGCTTCAGAAAGTGTTATACAGAAAGAGATAATGTGTTTTAACTTAAAAGCTGACATGTTTATTTCAGCTGCTCAAATAGGTGTTATTGTTTTTCAGTTATTGACAAAATCCATTCTGCTGCAAATAAAGATAAAAAATACTACAGGACGTTGTTACCAATCGATAAGGCGCAAGATCTTTATCTTCGATACTGCAGAAGTGAATTGTTTATCATTAAAAAAATTATTTTATCGAGACTTCATTTTATTTTTGAGCAAGTAGGTATTGTTACGCTAAATGAGAAATAAAGGGTTTCGTATACCTTACTACAATGTACAATTTCTGTTTCTATTTATTAAATACCCTATTGGCTGCATTTAAAATAAATTCGAATATTATAATGAAATTTCGTCAAAATGTGCAATATGCGATATATTTTATAGATATTTATGCTTTTAATTTTATTGAAAAAGTAATATGCTTCAATATAGTGTTCGTTTTCTATTTATACCATTTTACGATAGAAACTGGGAAGCAGAAACAAAACAGAATTTTTAAGACTGAAAGATTTTTTGGGCTAATCTTTAAAATATGGTAACAGGTAGTTTGGCGACATTTTGGTAACGCAATAAAGGTTACTAGCTAGGACTTTAGCAGTGTACGTGAATAGTCAAGAGTCAAGAGTGTGCGCAATGCCATTTTTGTGCAATTTTGAGATGTTTTTTTTAAGTGAAAATAGGTCGACGTGTACATGGATGATACCGTGTATGTGCAATTCTTAAAAACGCGGCAAGCAGTGGGCGATTCTGCACTTTCTCCCAATTTCGCACCTAATCTTCGTCATGATTAAGCACTTTTGTTCCATAAAAGTTCTAGCATAAGCGTAATTCGGCTAGCAGATTGTTGGAAAAAAAATGCTGAGGGGGGGGGGAATGCCTTTACTTCGTGAAAGCAAAATGGCTTCCCCCCCAAAAAAACTAGCAGGTTGCTGTAGCAGGGTTGGTCGCCAAATTTTCGCCAAAAAATTGCCAAGTTGCCATAATCCGAAGATTATACGTTTTTTTTGTATTGGGGGGGGAGAAATTTTAACTTCACTTTTTAGTAGTAAAGATTAAGTTTTCGGAGTTACACGAGAAGTTATTTTTATCCTAAGAAGAAAAATTAAATATTTGTGAAATTTTAAAATCTATTTTAATATTTTTGCAGTTATTTAAATTTTTTTGGTTAATCTCTTCTTTGGGGTATTCGAGTATAACTTGAATTTTATAGACTAGACTTTTTTCCCCTTTTTATTTCCAACAGTCTCTGTTGCAATTACGTGTTTCATTAATGTTTGTTAGTATTACTTTCTTTGCACAAATTTCAAATTCTGAGTTCTCGTTTGGATAAGATTACAACGTTGTTGAATACATGAAATCATAGAGATGGAATCCAGTCCTTTTTATCTTGCAAATGTGTCTTGGTCCTCATAAAATGGGAATAATGCATTGGTGTCTCGCATAAAGAATGTGTCGCATGAAAAAAGTATTCACCAGGCCGGAAAATATTCCGCGTAATGTACTTGAACTTCCATAATGAAATGCCTTCGATTTTTTTCACATGCTAAACGCAGGAGATTAAGAAATTTAGAATATTAAGAAAGTTGATTAATTTACCGTTTCATTAATTTGTTTTAGGAAAATACCTCAATATTCAGTCGGTAGGTGTATACTTATTTCACTGGATTATTTGCATACAAGATTGCAAAAAATATTTCCCTCAGGAGACCATTTTTATTTTGCCAGCATAACAGATCCATCTATTAAAGGTAATAAATGTCTGTTCAAGACGCTTTTAAAACTATCGTTTAAATAAATAAGAGAGAAAGAAGGGGGGAGAAAAGAACTTTGTTTACACTATTTTAATTAAATGAGCTAAAAAGTAAGAAGTATTTTTTTAAAAATATTTTTAGCAAATGTGTGTTATAGCTTGCATATCTCCCAGTTTCTCATCACATTTCCCGGAAGATTAATTACCCAGTTTTCTGGGATTTTAACTTTTAGCTTTTAAGAGGAATGTTCCCAGCAGTAAATGAGATTCTTAGATTAATGAAACTTATACAAATTCCATTTTCTGCCCTTAATGATTTTTCAGTATAATTATTTTTTCAATTTTATGTGATACTGAATTGTCATACTATACTACAGACACCTAGAACTTTTTATAGACATTTAAATAATGTCTAAGCAGTATACATTTATACTTAAAATTATTTTACATCAATATATGGTGCATTGCCTTATCCAAATAGTAGTATAAGCTGTACTTTTTTTTTTTTTTTTCATTAGTATTTAAAAGTGCTTGATAAATGAAAGCGACCGAATGACATCCAGGTTCAAATCCTAGCGAAGGGAGCTGCATGGGAGTTCCCGTGGTTTTCGCCGTGTATAACGTGAACGTAAGGAAATTTAAAAACCGCCGTTTGGTTTCAAGGGGATTTTTGTCCACCCATCCTATCCCCTTCAGCCCATATTTAGCTTAGACATTATTTAATTATCTGTTCTGC